TAGTGCAAGAAAATGGAAGCAGAATGAAAAGAAGAGGTCTAATAGGAAGGGAAGTTTCTTCAATAGAACTGAGTTCTATTTCTAATCTTCTAATGGAACATTACAAAGGTTCTCATGAGGGGTAGGGCTGAAGTGGATAGGGATGAAGGGTTAGGGAGTAGTAACAGGGGTAGCAAGTTTTTGCCCACAAAACCTGCAAGTCTGAATAACAGGATTTTGAAGATGAAGAGGAGGGAGTATGCTAACTAACCATGTTACCTAACTGCTGCAGACTCAGCTTGGTGGTAATGGAGTGCTGAAGCAACCTTCCCACTTGACTGAATTGTGTCCTACTGGTGAGAGGCTATTAGACTATAAGATCCTTAAGAATGGGGAGTCTTTCTTTGTATCACTAGCACTTTGCACAGTACCTGATACATAGTAGGCACTTAATAAATGCTTTTTGATTGATTGACTGATTGGTTATTTTCCCAATGTTTTGCAACCATCAGTGTAGAAATGGGTGGGACCACAGTGGACTGACTGAGAGCTATTTTCTATTTTACTTCTTTTTTATGGTCACCAAAAGCCAAAAAGAAATCATCACTAAGTGACCAGCCTCTTGGTGATGAGCCTTGTCGACCTTGGCTGTTGATCTTCAGAAAGCAGACATCTTTTTATTCCTGAGACTATTGTCATACATTATGTACAGTCTTAATAAGCTGTGTCTTCCTCTACAGCCCCTAATACAGTACCTTCCACATAATAGGGGTTCAACAAATTATTTTGAGTGAATGAATGATTCACTCCTCTTTTTTTGTTCAATCTACTCTTGCCTCAGCTAGCTTCCCAATTCAATAAGATTCATCTTGCATTTTCCCAAAAAATCTTATTATTTAGACTTAAAACAAACTTTCTTTTCTTTGCAATTTGTTCAGTTTTTTATATCTAAATGAGTTTCAAAGAGAAGAAAAAGGAGACCAGTGCTGAGAAATCAAAGGCCTCAACTTGTTCCAGTAAGAATTTCAATAATCAAAACTCTTTTTCATTTATTTTCTCCCAAGGTGCTTTAGTAGATAAATAAAACTGCTATGCTTCCTTCAGTTTTATTCCTACAGGGTTAGATCTTAATCTTTGATCATTTTAGTATAGCTTGAAAAAATAATTCCCTACTTTTATTACAAATCTTATCTGTTCATATTCAATATGAATAAGGGATATTGTTACTGATAGTGTTCATTTTTACTTATTGGAACCCTTTATCAAAATGTCTGTAGTCTCAAAGCAAAATAACTCTTTACCTGATGTACTTTTGCCTTAACACATGTGCCAACATGAGTCAATGCAAAACTTTTTCAGTTCTCCTCAATTCTCCAACCCTACTCTTGTACCCCTTCACTCTTGGTGAATAACCTTACTTTCTACTTTACCAAGGGCATTTCACTGAGAAAGAAGGGACAGATCACTTCCAAATCCATTCTCCTCTCTCCGTTCCTATTTCCCTCACTCTACTTCAGGGCTTTATTATTTCTAAATTGCCTGGACTTCTACAAGGCCTCCTAACTGATCTCTTTGCCTCTAGGCTTTTCCAGCATGAATCTAAACTTTATAACCCTGTCAGACAATCATGTTACTTCCCCACTAAAATTCTTTCTGTGGCTTCCCAACCACCTTCTACATCAGGTTACCTACCCAACCTAGCATGCAAGATCTTCCACAATTTGGTTCCAACCTCATTCTCTAGCCAAATTGTTATTACTTGCTATTGCCCTGAATACATATCTTTTTCTCATCCTATTAAATGAAGAATGAATGACTGATAGGATCTGGATAGACCTCAGTAGGCCTTCTGGTCCAACCCTCATATTTTACAGATGAGGAAACTGAAGCCCAGAGAAGTTAAGTTATTGGCCCAGCATCTCACAGGTAGTAAGTCTTTAGGTTGCACATTTAAAATCATTAGTCCAGAACTGGAAGGGACCTCAAAGGTCCTTGAGTCCCATCCCTTCATTTTATAAATGAAGAAACTGAGGCCCAGGGAGATTAAATGATTTGCCCAAGGTCACACAGGTAGTAATCATTGGAGTGGGCTTTGAACCCACAGATATTCAAGACTCAAATAATAAGGAAGTTCTACTAGTATCTCTCATAGTTTTGAACCACATTATGATCCATCTTGTTGTCCTGAAAGTTAATTTGCCTCTGCAAAAAATGAGGCTTACAGTCAAATAGGAGTATATCTGTTTGACAAATCAAAATTCCCACCAAATAAGACAAAGGTTTTCCATAAGAAGTAGACATGCTTTCCCTGTACAGGACATTCCATCTGCTTTTCTTGTGCGTTGCACAGATTGTTCCTCACCCTACCCCCTCACCTTTGCCGCTTGGAACCCTTAGCTCCCTTCAAGGTTCAACTCATGTCACCTCCTACAAGAGATTTTCTTGATTCTCCCAGTTCTTAGTGCTCATACGCATCAAAATGGGTGGGGGAGGGGGAGAACAACATGCAAATAAATGTATGCAAAACAAGCTATATACAGGATAAATAGGAAATAATTAACATTAAAAGGGGTGTTTGTGTTTCTTTTGCATTTATTATACATTTACTTATCTTACACCTATAGTGTACATGGACCACTTTGTGGGCATACCATGAGGCACTTGGAGCACTGAAGTAGGGGAAATCCAGTACAGTTCATGCACTGCCTTCCTTAAGCCTGCAGAAAGGCAGTATGTCACTTTATTAAATATGCAGTGAGGGGTAGTAATATCTGAGTTGTACATCAGGTGGCACTCTTCTTGACCTGCTAGCCCAGGAGGCCACATCAGTTCCTTACTGGCACAAATCAGGTATAGCTTCCCAAAAGGTTGCAATATTCCCAGTAGCCACCAGTAGTAATTCAGCCTTGAAATGCTTAGAATACTGTCACATCCAGCCCTCAGTTCATACTTCCACACCACACCTCCCCACACCATACAGAATGGCTACTGAGTCATGCAAGAAGGGTACTAGTCAGATTTGGAATTTAAGCTAGGGCATGATACGAAATATTGCTGAAAATATTAAAAATAGGAAATCTATGACTCTAGTCCCTCCACATGACTTCCCTCCACATCTGGACTCTCCTTCAGCAAACTACTACTCACATTCATGTGGCACAAACATTCGCTATACTTTGGCTACATCATTTATTGAACATACCAAAAATTAATCAATAATCAATTAACAAATGTTTATTAGTCACCTACTATACACCAAGCACAGTGCTAAGTACTGGGATAAATTTTTTAAGTGAAACAATCCTTCATCTCAACAGTCTATGGAATTCTATTACATTCTGTGGAATTATAACAATAGCTTACATTTATATAATTCAAAATTAAATGGGAAATGTTAAGCAGACCTGAGTGGAGTCCTCTACCTCTATGTCCCCAAACTCCCCCTTGCTTACCCTTTGAGGTACCTGGGCAATAGTCTTGAACCACCAGCTCCTATACCATATACCAGTTTCTGTAGGTCAGGGAAAGGATTAAAGAAAGGGTTGCCAGAGGCCCTATACTAAAGGTAAAGAAAGGGAAGCATGTGGGAGGTGAGACGTCCATCTCATCATCTGAAGGATTTTCAAGAGCTGCTCATCTCAGCCATCCTAGACTCACTTTTGCTGTGGCTTTTTTTTCCCACTGTGCCTACCCCTTGGTGCCACAGATTCTGGTCTTAACCACTAGCAGAAAAAGTCTCAGGCTGTGACAACTTGTGACTGCTACAGTCGAGTAATTCCCAAATCAAAAGTCAGCACCTGTTCACCTATGAGAGAATCAGCTACTCCAGCTCCAATGGAGACCACTGTGTACCCCAATTCCTCCCCTGAAGCACAAGAGTCCTGAATCTTTCAGGCTTAGCCCAACTGAAGAGGCAGCCAGCTCCTTGCACTTAGCATGACAGCCAGGAAGTCTCTCAAGGGCAAGAGAAGGAAAAAAGAACTCTAGACTCATATGCCCATACAAATCTCATCCCTGTCTTCTATTTTGGACAGGATTATGATAATTTTACTTCCTCCTATCTTGTTTTTCAGTGTCTCTAGGTCCCGTGGTACTCCCTTAGAAGTGAAATAACTCTGCAGAAATATCTTCTACATTTATTTAGGTACCTAGTATAGCACTGCCCTAAGTAGAATGTTAGCTCTTTGGGGCTTTCTTTTTCCAGAATACATTTCATGTAAGGACCAAGATATCTGTTGTAATCTACATGTTTTGGAAGAAGAAAACCCCAAATGCCTTGTTCTGTGATTGCTCAGGTGGCACAAAGCAGCTTTATTCCAGCAATATAAAAACAACTTTAGTGAACCTTGTTTCAAAATGGCTTCTGTGAATTTGGGTTAAAGGGCTTTGCTGATGGTGAAGGTTGGGAGGTGAAAAGTCTGAGGGTGTAGAAGTAGAGGCTGGTGGAGAGAGGCAATTCTATTTGCTGATTGAAGGAATTATTTTTTATCACAAGTTTCACGAAGACTTTGAAGTTGATGAAGTTTTAATTTTTTTTCCCTTTGGATGAATCATTTCCTTCATAGATATAGAAGAGTCATGTACCCTTCTGTGGACTGAAACTTCACAGAAGTGCTTAGACTAAGATACCGGCTAAGATAAATAGTCACAAACCTCATTTTCAGCCTTAAGTGGAATAGTATTTATTAAACAGCCACTAGTACATGGTACTCTGTGGGGGCACAGAAAGGCAAATTAAATAAATGCGCTCCCTCTGTGGCTTCAAGCTGCTGAAATCCAAATAAAGTTGACTAAGTTTTGGGGGTTTTTTGCCTTTTTCTGAAGATCAGTGAATGGCATGGAGGGTGTCGGGCAGGGGGAAGGGGATGAGAATTCATTCATTGTCAACACTTCTCCTTCAGAACACAGTAATGCTCCATGAACCTTTATGTCCTTGTCCTTAAGATGCATCATGGGAGACTTTGGAAGCTAATGTTTATTTTATTTTTTTTTTAATGAAACTTTTTCTTTTCCATTCCTAGGGACATGAAGCCTGACAACATTTTACTTGATGAGCATGGTGAGTAGTATCCTGTGCACATGTAAGTAGATTAGACAGGAATGATTTTTTTTTAATTAATGGAAAGGTCGTATACATATAAAGGGACTTACATATATAAAGTGACTTATTTTGCCCAATAGACTTATAACTGGCAGGGATCTTAATGTTGATCCAGTCCATTCCCTCAGACCTCATTTTACAGATGAGGAAACTGAGGCCCCAAGAGGTTAAGTGACTTGTCCAAAGTCACACAGGTAACCCAGTAGAACTGGAATTACAACCCAGGTGCTCTGCTTCAAGCAGTAATTCTCTTCTCAAAGCATCATGCTGCCTCTTGATAGGATGCTTTGGAAAAGTGTGGTGATGAACTTTGATCTTAAATACATTTGTCATGTTGGTAATTGAACAAGTGATGAAATTATGGTTAGACATCTTCATAACAGTTCTCTTGGATCCTTTATGATAATCTCTATCAATCAGTTTTTCAGACTTGGATGTTTTGTAGCTTAGGTCCCACCTGTGTGTGCGTGCTTCTGTGGGCTATGTGTGCAGTAAAAGATTCTGGCAATGATTACAAGGTCACCAGCATTACAAGGTTACTCCGAGTTTCCTTAATCGTTAAAAACCTATGATGGGATTTGGTAATAGGAATGAAACTCCAAAAGGAGATACATTGTTCTTTTATTTATTTATCTGAGTTTTAAACTGGATTTGTCAAATAACACCTGAGCCTAGAGAGCTGAGCATTAGTTTTTAATATGACCTCTAATTTCAAAGCACAGGGTAATCATTTATTTATGGCCTGTTTGAAAAGGGTTCAGTGTTTTTTCCCTCTTCCAAATTGTTTTCCTCTCCCTCTTCTTTCTCTATCCCCATTCCCCTGCTTCTAATGCTAATAAATTATGAAATATATGCTTCTGGGCAATGGGTAGAATTAGCATACAGGTGTTTTAACTGAAAAAAAATTGTAGATTTCTTATTCACACCCTCTGGCAGAGACAAGAGGATTCCCTTAAATTCTGGGTCAAATGAACCATAAGATCATAGATTTAGAGCTGGAAGAGACCTCAGAGGTCACCAAGTCGAACCCCCTCATTTTACAGATAAGAAAATTAAAATGCAGAAAGATTAAATTGACTTGCCCAGAGACACAACTAGTAAGTATCTGAGGCAGAATCTGAACCCAGTTCTTCTTGACTTCAAGCCCAGCACTCTATCTACCAAACTGTGCAACCTCACATCCAGATAGGAATGTACCCACTAATCATAATGAAAGAATAAATGAAAAAGCATTTATTAATTGATTTCTATGTGCTAAGCGCTGGGGATACATCCTCTACCCACGAGGAGCTTACATTCTAAAGAGGGAGACAACACATAGAGGCAGTTTCAGCTTGGGTAGAAAGTTCCCAGAGGTTCTTAGGATGTAGGGGGTAAGACAAAGGGTAATTATCTTCTTTCATTTCATTTCCATTGATTAAAAACTGCATCAGGCAGTTTGGTGGTACAGTGAGTTCAAATCCAACCTCAGACACTTACTAGCTGTGTATCCTTGGGCAAGTCACTTAACCTCTGTTTACCTCAGTTTCCTCAACCATTAAGTGGGGATAATAATAGTATTTAACTTCCAGGGTTGTTGTGAGGATCAATGAGATAATATTTGTAAAGCTCTCGACACAGTGTCTGGCACATAATAGGTGCTTTATAAATGCTTGTTTCCTTCCTATTTTTGATATGGGACCAGGAAGTTTAGCACCAAGAACTTTCTTTTCTGGTTGCTCAGTAGCTGTGGCCACTGAGGAGGTGGGGGCTGTAGTGCCTGAAGAGGCAATTGCCAAGTCTCATCTCTCCAGCAGTTGTGCCTGGATGGTGGCTGTGGGGCCAAGGTGGAAGCAGGGACACTGATATATGGCAGAGAGGAGGGAGCAGCATTACCTCCTATGGCTCTTGGACTTGGGCAGTCAGGGTAAATGATGGCAAGGCCGGTGGGCCTCTTCTCCACGGAGGAATCATAACATACCTTATCCCTTTATATCCTTTTGAAAGTAACTTCACAAATGAGATAGGTTATCTCATTGGCTTCTTACAACAATCTAATAATGTAGGCAGAGATCATTAGTCCTACTCTACAGATATGGAAACTGAAACCCAGAGATGTTGAGTGACTTGTCCAAGGTCACCTAGCTAAAAAATGGCAGAGTCAAGACTAGAACCCATGGCTCCTAATTCCCAGTTCATTTGTTTTGCCAGTGTACTCTACTGCCTCCCCAAATAGTGGCCATTCAGTCTTCATTTGTGAAAACCTTAGTACCAATTTATTTTTTTATTGAGAATCATGCCAAATGTTGACTGTTTTGGGACCCATGCGTTGGTTGATTTTTTTTCTTACCATGCATCTTATGGATTTTTTATTGTCTTTCACTCTGTAGGCTACTTGACTGCCCTTGTGATGGGCTAGTAAGAGAAAGGCTGATGGGACAAGCTAAGCACCTTTTACAAGTTCAGCTATTTCCTTCTTCCCCAAACACCAGCAGTAGCACATCAATGTCTATTCTGAGAGAGCTGAATTATGCATGGTGGTCCTCTTCCCTTGGGAAGGATCCTTCAAATCTCTGATTTTTCTTACAATTCTTTGACTGTGTCCAAGCCAGTGTCACATCAAGATAAACAGTAAAAACTATGCACTGTCTTCCCCATGAATTATTTTGTTACATCTTGCACATGGTCAAAGTGTGATTCCAAACACTTCTATCTGCTATCTGGCTAGACTGGGGAACCCATTTAGTTCCAATCAGCCCATGGTACCTCTAGAAAATACATTCTCAATCTGCATTTTTCTCCTAGTGCACTGGAAGGCCAAAGTCCATCTCTACTGGATGTTGTTGTTGAGACTGGGACAAACAATTCTAGAAGGTCCTACTGAGTAAGAAAGGTTTCAGACACAAGCCAAGCAATGGACTGAGAATCTAAGTAGTCTTTGTTTTCAGAGAGGTAGCTCTGCCCTGTCCTTACAAGAGATTATGTTCTTGCACATTCTGAGCTTTGCTTGTAAAGGAAAAAGACAAATGACAAGAGCGCAATCTCACAAATGGTATTTTAATATAAAGCATGTAATAAAAATATATTAGAAATATATAATTAGAAATTAGAATTAGATATATCTCTATATAATTAACATATAAATATATAATTGGAAATTAGAAAATAGAATTAGAAATTAGAAATATAATTAGAAATAAAGAACAATATAATAGAAAATATATTATGTATAATATATCTATTATACTATATATATGTGTTTGAGGAAATCAGAATCAGTGCAAATTAATTTCAATTCTCTATACCTTGCACAGCTATTAAGTCAATAATTGATCACAGGATCATAGATTTAGAGCTAGAAAGCACCCAAGTGGTTGTCCTCAGCTCTCTCCAGCTGCTAACGCTTCCCTCCCCAAATTATATTGTATTTATTTTGTAAATACATTTTTATATTTTGTAAATACATTTTATATGCAAATACATCTTAATATAGTTATTTGCTGTCTCTTCTCCTTGTAATGGAAGCTCCCCAAGGGCATGGACTGTTTCATTTTTGCACTATATTCCCAGTCCCTAGCATAATGCTTGGCACATGGGGCTTAATGAATGTATGGTGATTGATTAATTGATTGGTCTAATCTGACCTCCTCATTTTAAAGATGAGGAGAGAATGGTGCTGAAAAAGGAGAAGCGATTTCTTAGGTCACACGGGTAGTAAATGGCAAAGTCAGGATTAAATCCTGGGTCTCCTGGCTCCCAGTTCAATGCTTTTCCCACTGAACCCTAGGAACTTAAGGCAAATTCATAGCCAGATAAAAATGCACAAATAATCATAACATACCCTTTATTTGCATATCCCTTTATATTTTTTAAATGTCTTCACAAATGAGATTAATTACATTATTTGATCCTCATCATAACCTTATGAGGTATGCAGAGATTTCTAGTCCCAATTTACAGATGAGAAAACTGAAACCCAAAGAGATTAAGTGATTTGCCCAACATATACCAGACTGATAAGTCCAGTGCTCTATAGAACCCTAGAATTTCAAAGCTGGGAGGAACCATAAAGTACAATCCTCTCATTTTACAGAGGAAGAAACTGAGACTCAGAGAGAGGAAATGTCTTATTCATAACCACATAAGTATTCATTAGCAGAGTCAGTACAGAAACTCAGCCTTCACCTGTCAGTTCACTGATTTTCCCACTACATCCGTTTGCCTCACACTGCCACACACTTGACAGTGCCTCAGTTGGCAGCTGATAGATATGTCCTGATATTTCTTTCATGCTGTTCTAACAGTGCAGATGGCAGATGAGTAGAACAGATGACCTTGAACATTTTCTGTTAAAACATGCCTGACATGAGGCCTGAAAACAAGACTGCCACTCAGAATGGAATCCATGCTTCTATGCAGGCCCAGGAAAATGAGATTTCTTTAAGAGAGCCCTCTGTGAGCCAGCATTTTCAGGAGTTGCTTTGGGTCCCTGACCATCTTCACTGTGAGGGGGAACACATGAGATAGTTGGAAGATTTGAGTCTTCTCAGGTCGTCTTTCCTAACTCTGTCACCTACTAAGAAAATCACCTTGGGTAAATCATTTCCTCTGTCTTAACTTGAAGGAATTGTATCAAAGACCTTTCCAATTCCAAAATGCTTTGAATATCAGCCTCATCATCCACAAAATAACAATAATACTGCATAACACCTCATAGGAATTTGTTTGTTTTTGAAGATGAAATAAGAAGCTGTATTTGAAAGCATTTTGAAAGCTGTATAGCACTTTATATGGTGGAAGATCTTATTTTTTAAATAATAATAGTATGTTATGTTTGAAAATTAAACTGAGAGACAGTAGTCTGAGCATGATCAATTTATTAGTTAGGCTAATTAGTTAGGCTAGCAGTAACCAATAAATTGGGTGATTGGCCTCTCAATAACCAAAGACCCAGACTGACTAGGACTGACTAGCCTTCC